AAAAAAAATTCTCACGACGTTTTGACCATAACTCAAAACGGTCATCTTCAGGTGTGTTTTTATTGTTTTATATATATTTTATTATTTTGTTGTTTTCTCTTCAACGTGACTTTACCGAAAAACTAAGAATATGTTATAGATTAGTTTCAAGATTTGTGCTGTTATATCATAACGTCTGCACAGGTGGAATCAGTGCCTGGCATTCAGAGTGGGCCATCACGGCAGTCGCCTAGTACGCAAAGCTGCGAGTCACTAAAGGTTTGGTATCAATTTTAAGTCTTATCGTGATGTGTGTATGTTTATATAAGGTAGCACTACTACCCCGATGGCCTGAGTTGAATTCCTTTCATGGCCAACACCAGTGACGATTATCTGAACCGGTCCGAGGCCTCCCCATAGGTCTACTCAGCCTCAACATGAGTACCTTGTGTAGAGACTAAACATCTGCCACTAGGGAGACAAAGGCAGTCGGGCGTGATACAGGCCACCCACCCCTCTTGTGCCGTTCCGGCCTTCATGGGTGCTCGCTGACAGAACTTTCCTCAACAGTACGTTAAGGCTATATGGGGGTCTTTGTCTATATGTAGTGAGTTAAACTGAGTCGCAGACGTACTCTTGGAGGAAACACATTTATTTAACACCAACACACGGGGTAACTGCCCCTTAACAGAATAACAACCTATGGTGGTCACCACCAGGCTAACTACACTAATTACAACGTAACTAGCTACTACGGACCAGACCACAGCTCGGGTCCAGGTCCACGTGTTGGAGACTCGGTAGAACGTAGACGAAGGCTTCTTTAAGATGAACAACAACGCCGGTCCCTCTGGGGGACCCGGCTTATATTCTCTGCGACGTGGTTGGCTCCGCCCTTGGCTACGACCACCTTCCAGAATCCTCGAGCAGGATCTGGACCCGGACCACGTGGCCAACTCTAGCCCCCACTTGGGGCCCCTTTGTAGACTTCATCGGTCACGTGTCCTCTCGGGTCAACCAGCATGCCATGTCCTTTAGTAACCCCGGCACACCCACACCCTATCCTGTAGGGCGGGCACTGCACACCAAGCGTGGTGCCACCCAGCGCTATCAACCAGCGCTCACCGAGCCCCTCTAGGGCCGATACTACACCCACACCATAGTGGTGTCTGTGATGTCGTTACATCACACGCCGGGACTCTCTAGGGCCGGTACTACACCCACACCATTGTGGTGTCCACGATGTCGTTACATCACACGCCGTGACTCTCAAGGGCCGGTACTACACCCACACCATAGTGGTGTCTGTGATGTTGTTACATCACACGCCGTGACTCTCTAGGGACGGTACTACACCCACACCATAGTGGTGTCCGTGATGTTGTTACACCGCACGCCGTGACTCTCTAGGGCCAGTACTACACCCACACCATAGTGGTGTTCGTGATGTCGTTACATCACACGCCGTGCCCCTCTAGGGACGGTACTACACCCACACCATAGTGGTGTCCGTGATGTTGTTACATCACACGCCGTGCCCCTCTAGGGACGGTACTACACCCACACCATAGTGGTGTCCGCGATGTCGTTACATCACACGCCGTGACTCTCTAGGGACGGTACTACACCCACACCATAGTGGTGTCTGTGATGTTGTTACACTCCATGCCGTGACTCTCTAGGGACGGTACTACACCCACACCATAGTGGTGTCCACGATGTCGTTACATCGCACGCCGTTCACCTTTTGGGCTGCCTCAGCACAGTGAGATCCCGCGATGTCACTACACATATATAATGGATACTTAGTCACAGGACGTGGTAATAGGTTACAACGGATTGATTTTGTCATTTTTGCGACGCAGGTCACTCTCGCAAATGAGACCCTAACCTGGTCCCTGGTTAAACAAAGATGAAACTCGAAGTGCCAATTAACGGCAAGGTTATTGCGCAAGAACCACGGCACGTTCAAGGAGTGCTAACCTTTGTTCACGCAGGGCGAGGTTGACGTTCACGCCATGCCAGTGTTGCGAACACGTGAAGAGGTGGGGGGGGGGGGTAGAAAGGGAGGGGGGGGTCGGCTTCTGTCGGTGCTGCCTCGGAATACGATCGGCGACGTAGCATCACTGTCTACACAACCACACGAACACTCGAGATGAGTACACCAGTACGGTGTACAGGCTCGTCCACATGTCTTAAGTCATTAATTGGTTGCCCCGTAAAAATGTTTTAAATTTTGTTTATTTTGCTTACGTGACATGACGCAACAATTTGCGTGCAAAAACATTAAGTTTAAGAGAATTAAATGATGGAGGGGGGGGGGGGTCACAAGACATCTGGATCATCCCGTTGAAAAAGTCTAACATTGGGCGCACGCGATGTCTCGATTGCCAAGCTCATCGTTAAACATCTCTGAAGACGAATCCAGCTTCACTCCTTCTTCTCTTCACATTGCCCTCGACAACCTCGGCAACCCCCCTGGTCTGCACCCCCACCCCCCCTGGTCTGCACCCCCCCCCCCCTGGTCTGCACCACCCCCCCCCCTGCTCTGCACCACCCCCCCCCCTGTGGACGCCAGCTCCGTTCGCTTCAGCGAACAGCGAAGGCCGACAACAGAGAGACCTTGTGGGGGGCTAGTGCCCCCCTCCACCCCATTACGTGAGGGCTAGTGCCCCCCACTACCCCATTACGTGGGGGCTGATCTCCCCCTCCCCCCACTCCCCATTACAGCGGTGGCACCAAACCTCTCTTTACAATGTCTCACTACCGTGTCTCACTACCGTGTCTCACTACCGTGTCTCAAGACCGTGTCTCACGTGAGTGTCTCACTACCGTGTCTCACTACCGTGTCTCACTACCGTGTCTCAAGACCGTGTCTCACATGAGTGTCTCACTACCGTGTCTCACTACCGTGTCTCACTAGCGTGTTTCACTACGGTGTGTCAAGAGCGTGTCTCACTACCGTGTCTCATAACGCTGCCACATGCCCCCAACCATAGTTGCGCCCTTGACAATGAGATATCGCTGCCACAAACCCCTCCAAAGTTCCGCCCCTGCTTCTTCCTGTTATAATAATACGAATACTTTATTGTTAAAAGCGTCGTCCATGCTAATAGCATCCCACAACGCTGTACATGCATTATATATATCAGGGAGCCAAATCCCATATAAAGCCACTACCAAGCGCATGAAAACCCGTCTACCCAGCAACATACAAAATAAATATATGTGAATAAACAAATTAAGGATGGTACTCGTCGCTCCCACCTCTACCAGTTTTACATTCTCATCACTCCTATCCGCCCCGCCGCGATACCCTCATCATCGTCGTCATTAGCATTCACGCACTAAACTCTGCACTCGTTAACTCAGATCCCTGAGTTTGATCTTCCACCAAGCGCATGGTCCACCCGAAACCCCATCCACTGCACAAACCATGGCAGCAGATTCGGACACCTGATGCACAAATGGGAAATACAATGAATAAAAACTCTCCAGTAGTGGTGCGACTGTGGTCACCCAGAACAGATCGTACACCAAATATCGACGCAATGCCCCGATCCACAAATAACGAAGGAGACATCACAGCGATGATGATGCTGATGATGCTGCACGACTCCGCTTCCCCCTGACGCGGTTGTCTGTGGCTTGACCACCTTGAATGTGAAGTCGTGGTCGTTGCACTGCATCCTATGTCAGCCATACGAAACACAAGAAGATGAACACATTGATAACATACACGTGCATTAACATCGCCATCAAACACACTGCCCATCATCAATTCTATTCATCACCATTTACATTGTCACCCATTGCAATTACATCATCATCACGTTCCTATCATTTCATTATTCATGAACGCCCCGCCCATTCAACTCCTCGCACGCAGAATCACGTTCAATCGTTGCCTGCCACGCGCTATTAATCTCTCCTTACACTCGTGCTGTGTGTCCCAGTCTGTGGTTGGTAATAGTCACTTGGGGCGGGTGGAGGGGTGGGGTAGAGGCGGGGGACAGGGGTAGGAGGCTTCCCAGCAGTGGGAAGTGCCAAGCTGACGATATTCAACGTAAACCTCATTTCTTTTGTAAAGTGCAAAAGTAAATCCGAATCGCGTGCTCGTTACTACGCTCACGGTCTCGAACATTTAACGCTGTAGGGACGCCCCCCGTCTCCGCAAAATGCAGCCACTAAAGAGCTCCATCATACCTCTTTGCAATATGACGTTCACTGCTCTAATGAAACTAAAACCAAACGTGGAACGTGTATGGAAGCATTTCCATGAATATAAACTTAAACTGCGTTTTTTAAAAAAGTGCGTTGTTGTTCTTGCACGCTGTTGTTGAAAACAAAACTGATGGTGGTTGTCAGGGGCATGCCCCCAACTCGTGGGGGCAAGGCACCCCCCTGCCTGTCCCCCACGCTGCTCCTCACGCTGCCGGGCAGTGCTGCATCGGAGTGGGCGAATAAGGAGTGCGACGTCTGGAGCGATCTGAGCCCTGTTGGCTCAGATCAGTTCCTGGGCACGACTGCTATCGGTGGCGAGTGATAACATCTGGACGAGTCCCTGGGGGAGGGAACCCCCCCGTTCATCAACCACGACCGAACATCGTGGCGAAGTGTGGTTGCCACAACCACACGTGACCAACACGGCACGCGGACGGCCCTCCGTCATCCAGCAGTCAATGAATTGACGACACAATAAAACAAAACAACGCGAGGCGATAACAATTGGTCAATGTCCCTCGTTACTCTCACACCGCTGCCAACGCAGGGCCCTCACGTTCGATTGCGCACCTTTCGTAGAAGGTGCAAGCAGCGATATTCAAGAACGGCCGATTTTTGTTTGCGTTCTCTGTAGAAAGTGGGGGAATTGCCCCAAATAAATGTGCGTGGTCAGAGCGCAATCTCGTTTGCGGTGCTGGGCCGCTTTGCCATGTGACTGGAATTTAAATGCCACCCCTCCCCCTCGCGGCCCCCCTCCCCCTGTGCCCCCCCCTCCTCCACTCCGCGTCTTGTGGGAGTTCAGCGTAACTAATTATCAGGGTTGCCCCGCAAATCGATGTGTGTTGTGGACGAACGCGTTGAGCGTGTGTCTCTGTGTTTGTTATTGTAAGTGCGCGTTTTGTTTGCGCACCATTAGCCAACAACGCAGTTGCAAGCAGCACCACATGATTGTCTGTGATTGATGTGCGCTATTCAACATGACAGACGAAGATCGACACCCCTCCGTATAGCCTTATGGCAGACTGTTGGGGGAAATGCTGTTAGCGAGCACCTATGAAGGCCGCCAGCGCGCCACGCGAGGGGGTGGTGTGGACAGCACCACCACGCCCGGCCGCCTTTGTCTTCCCCGCGGCCACGTCTACACCGGCTACTCATTTGATGGTGTTAGGAGGAGGAAGGAAAGAAGGAATGTTGCCCTCCGTCGAAGGAAACGGGACAGAGGCACACACGCGCATGGGCCCACTCCCCCCCCATCCCGCTCATTCCCCGGGGACGTGGGAGGAAATACCAATCTGCCCGAGTCAGAGGCGCTTGGCCAATCCCGGGCAGCAAGGCGAGAGCAATTGTCAGGGCTCTTTTTGTTGTTGCTGCTGCTGCATTCGCTGGAGCCTGCTAGGAGCCTTCAGGCGTCTCCCTCGAGCTCGTTTCGTAGCTCAATTCCTGGGCGATCGTGGAGGGAGCGGACCCGTGGACGACGACGATGAGTGTCGTTGTTGTTGTTGGGAGTTGACGGATGATCGGAGAATCAACAGCCGATTTAGGACGGCAGCACTTTGAAGACTTGGAAGGTAAGGAGAGAGTTTGGGCAAGAGTTATCTGCACCAAGAGTGAGTGTTGTTGTTGTTGTTGGCGGCCACCCACCCCCTCGCGTGCTTTCATAGGGTGCTCGCTAACAGCACTTGCCCCAACAGTCTGTTAAGGCTACACGGAGGGCATCTTTGTCGTTGTTGTGTGGGAGCGGCAGTGTGGCGGTTAGCGCGCTGCGCTATGAGCCCGGCGACACGAGTTCGATTCCCGCTCACGGTCAACACCGGTGATTATAATTATCAGAACCGTTGCTGGCCCTCCCCTAGGTCAGCCTAAAATGAACACCTGGTGCGGTGTGTAAAGATCGCCACTAGGGAGACAAAGGCGGCTGGGCGTGTTGCTGGCCACCCATCCCCTCGTGTGCCGTGCCATCCTTCATACGTAGGTGCTGCTACTCGCGAACAGCACTGGCCCCAACAGTCTGTTAAAGCTACAGGGTGGGTGGGGAGATTTTTGTCCGCCTTTGTGGTTACTGCCAGTTATTTTTCCCCCCCCCCACTCTAAAAGTCTTTCTGCTCGAGAGAGCCGAGGGATGCGACTCCCCGCTACTCAGGCGTAAACTTCTGGAGGCGTGGGGGACACGGTGAGGACTGGGGCTCGAGACGTCCGCTGCGAGTCAAAGTTGTCTCGCGGACGGGAGAAAGCCACTTGGTGTGAGCGCCGCACGCGCACGCGCACGCACACGCACGCTGCTCTCGAGACTTTGTTTGAAATCAATTTGCCAATTTACAACGAACAAAAGAGGCAGTGAACCCGAAAGATAACAACGTACCCAGCGGGCAATCAAGGATCTGCAATTGTTTCTTGCAGTGGTTGTCCCACCTGATGACGGACGCTTGTGTTGCGCCCGAAACGTCGTAAGTTAATACATTTTATACCTACGTGACTTTACCGAAAGAACCAAAGAGTATGGATCCCTGCAGTCACGAAAACTTCAAATCTGGATTGAATCAAGGATCTCTTGCGGATGCGCAGAGGTCATTTATGCAAGTGCCGTTGGCATGCAATCTCTGCTGTCGGTATGTCGAAGACTGGGTGTGTGGGTGTCGAGCTGTCTTTTTTGTTTAACCATCCGTGTGTCATCTGGTACGCGTTACGCTGTTTATAGCGTAACTACAGCACTGGACTTTAAACGAACCTCTGGAGCGTATCGGCAAACGGAGAGAACACAACACAGGGTTAGAACGCATAGAGAACACAACACATACCGTGTTAGAATGCATAGAGAACACAACACATACTGTGTTAGAATGCATAGAGAACACAACACATACTGTGTTAGAATGCATAGAGAACACAACACATACTGTGTTAGAATGCATAGAGAACACAACACAGGGTTCGAACTCATAGAGAACACAACACATACTGTGTTAGAATGCATAGAGAACACAACACACACAGGGTTAGAACGCATAAGAACACAAGAAACACAAAGGTTAGAACGCATAGAGAACACAACACAGGGTTAGAATGCATAGAGAACACAACATACACAGGGTGAGAATGCATAGAGAACACAACTCACGGAGTTAAAATGCATAGAGAACACAACACAACAGGGTTAGAACACATAGAAAACACAACACAGAGGGTTAGAATGCATAGAGAACACAACACATACTGTGTTAGAATGCATAGAGAACACAACACAGGGTTCGAACTCATAGAGAACACAACACATACTGTGTTAGAATGCATAGAGAACACAACACACACAGGGTTAGAACGCATAAGAACACAAGAAACACAAAGGTTAGAACGCATAGAGAACACAACACAGGGTTAGAATGCATAGAGAACACAACATACACAGGGTGAGAATGCATAGAGAACACAACTCACGGAGTTAAAATGCATAGAGAACACAACACAACAGGGTTAGAACACATAGAAAACACAACACAGAGGGTTAGAATGCATAGAGAACACAACACATACTGTGTTAGAATGCATAGAGAACACAACACACACAGGGTTCAAACACATAGAGAACACAACTCATACTGTGTTAAAATGCATAGAGAACACAACACATACTGTGTTAGAATGCATAGAGAACACAACACACAGAGGGTTAGAACTCATAGAGAACACAACACATACTGTGTTAACATGCCTAGAGAAGACAACACACACAGAGTTAGAACGCATAGAGAACACAACACACCGGGTTAGAACACAAATAGAACACAACACATACTGTGTTAGAATGCATAGAGAACACAACACATACTGTGTTAGAATGCATAGAGAACACAACACACACAGAGTTAGAACACGTAGAGAACACAACTCACGGAGTAAAAATGCCTAGAGAACACAACACAATAGGGTTAGAACACATAGAAAACACAACACAGAGGTTTAGAATGCATAGAGAACACAACACATACTGTGTTAGAATGCATAGAGAACACAACACACACAGGGTTAGAATGCATAGAGAACACAACACATACTGTGTTAGAATGCATAGAGAACACAACACATACTGTGTTAACATGCCTAGAGAAGACAACACACACAAGGTTAAAACGCATAGAGAACACAACACATACTGTGTTAGAATGCATAGAGAACACAACACACACAGGGTTAGAATGCATAGAGAACAGAACACACACAGGGTTAGAACGCAGAGAGAACACAACACATACTGTGTTAGAATGCATAGAGAACACAACACATACTGTGTTAGAAAGCATAGAGAACACAACACCTACTGTGTTAGCATGCCTAGAGAAGACAACACACACAGAGTTAGAACGCATAGAGAACACAACACATACTGTGTCAGAATGCACAGAGAACACAACAAACAGGGATCGAACGCATAGAGAACGCAACACACACAGGGTTCAAACACGTAGAGAACACAACTCATACTGTGTTAAAATGCATAGAGAACACAACACATACTGTGTTAGCATGCCTAGAGAAGACAACACACAGAGGGTTAAAACGCATAGAGAACAAAACACATACTGTGTTAGAATGCATAGAGAACACAACACACACAGGGTTAGAACACAAATAGAACACAACACATACTGTGTTAGAATGCATAGAGAACACAACACATACCGTGTTAGAATGCATAGAGAACACAACAAACACAGGCTTAGAACGCATAGAGAACACAACACACACAGGTTGAGAACTCACAGAGAACACAACACAACAGGGTTAGAACACATAGAAAACACAACACAGAGGGTTAGAATGCATAGAGAACACAACACATACTGTGTTAGAACGCATCGAGAACACAACACACACAGGGTTAGAACGCATAGAGAATACAACACGCACAGGCTTAGAATGCAAATAGAACACAATACACACAGGGTTAGAACGCATAGAGAACACAACACACAAAGGGTTAGGACACGTAGAGAACACAACACATACAGGGTTAGAACGCATAGAGAACACAACACATACTGTGTTAGAACGCATAGAGAACACAACACACACAGTGTTAGAACCCACAGAGAACACAACACACACAGGGTTAGAACGCATAGAGAACACCACACAGGGTTCGAACGCATAGAGAACGCAACACACACAGGGTTCAAACACGTAGAGAACACAACTCATACTGTGTTAAAATGCATAGAGAACACAACACATACTGTGTTAGCATGCCTAGAGAAGACAACACACACAAGGTTAAAACGCATAGAGAACACAACAAACACAGGCTTAGAACGCATAGAGAACACAACACACACAGGGTGAGAACTCACAGAGAACACAACACAACAGGGTTATAACTAATAGAGAACACAACACAGAGGGTTAGAATGCATAGAGAACACAACACACACAGGGTTAGAACGCATAGAGAATACAACACGCACAGGCTTAGAATGCAAATAGAACACAATACACACATGGTTAGAACGCAGAGAGAACACAACACATACCGTGTTAGAATGCATAGAGAACACAACACAGGGTTAGAACGCATAGAGAACACAACACACACAGGGTTAGAACGCATAGAGAACACAACACACACAGGGTTAGAACGCATAGAGAACACAACACACACAGGGTGAGAACACGTAGAGAACACAACACACAGGGTCAGAATGCATAGAGAACACAACACAGGGTTCGAACGCATAGAGAACACAACACACACAGTGTTAGAACGCATAAGAACACAAGAAACACAAAGGTTAGACCGCATAGAGAACACAACACACAGAGGGTTAGAATGCATAGAGAACACAACACAACACACACAAGGTTAGAACCCATATAGAACACAACACACGGAGATAGAATGCATAGAGAACACAACACATACTGTGTTAGCATGCCTAGAGAAGACAACACACACAGCGTTAGAATGTATAGAGAACAGAACACACACAGGGTTAAAACGCAGAGAGAACACAACACATACTGTGTTAGAATGCATAGAGAACACAACACACAGGGTTAGAACGCATAGAGAACACAGCACATACTGTGTTAGAATGCATAGAGGACACAACACACACAGGGTTAGAATGCATAGAGGACAGAACACAGAGTTAGAACGCATAGAGAACGCAACAAACATAGGCTTAGAATGCATAGAGAACACAACACATATAGGGTTAGAACGCATAGAAAACACAACACACACAGTGTTAGAACCCATAGAGAACACAACACACACAGGGTTAGAACGCATAGAGAACACAACACACACAGGGTTAGAACGCATAGAGAACACAACACATATAGCGTTAGAACGCATAGAGAACACAACACAACACAGGGTTAGAACGCATAGAGAACACAACACATACCGTGTTAGAATGCATAGAGAACACAACACACGCAGGGTTAGAACACATAGAGAACACAACACACAGGGTTAGAATGCATAGAGAACACAAAACATACTGTGTTAGAACGCATAGAGAACACAACACACACAGGGTTAGAACACGTAGAGAACACAATACACACAGGG